AGACGTTCTGTTCAATGCAGCCTGTAATGGGGTCTGGCATTGTTATGCTGACAAAGGACAGCTTTGGTAAAGGTAGGAGAATTGGATGAAGAATGGCATCCATGTAACGCTCAGTTGTCAAATTTCTGTTAACGATGCCAGTGGTTTTTGTTTTCCCAAACTATATATATCAATACTCCCTCAGCTGTGGGGCGTAAACGCAACATGCCGCCTTTCGATTTCCCCTTTGCCGGCTACACGCTGTCTTCCAACAGTTCAGACAGAATCGGCTTGCATCAGTGAAGACGGCTCTCTGCTAGTCATGTCGTTCGCGCCCAGCTCAATCTCTGACGGTGCTGTCATCAACTGTCAGTCATAAATATCACATAGAATGCCTTTTTCTCCAACATGTTTCGTTCTTTACTCTTCATCGTTCCTGTCAAAAGATTTTCTCTATTAAGCTGTAACGCTTTATTTATTCCGTCTTCAACAAGAGATTTTGGATATTCCCGTAAAACTATTGTACATATTCTTCGTGCCAGGTTATATGGAAGACTTCTTTTAGTGTGGCTCGGATGACAAGATTTGAAGTTTAAATATTGTTTCGTATCTGTAGGTTTGTAGAAGATATCTGTGTCCAATTTCCGCCCCGATTTGATGACCATTGTGTCTAAGAAAGCTGTTTTAGTTTCATCTGCCTCCATAGTGAAAACAAGATTTTCGTCCATGCTATTTAATAGTTCGTAAAATGCATTTAGTTTCTCCTCAGAAAATGGCCAAATTATGAAGCAGTCGTCTAGAAATCTTTTCCAATTATCCATGAAATAATGGGCAACATCCTCTCCAAGAATTTGACTGATTTTATGCTTGAACTTTTCCTCCAGATATTCTAAGACAAGCGTCGCATAAGTCGGCGCCATTTTGGTTCCCATGGCTGTTCCTTTAATCTGTTTATAGTACTTATCGTCAAAAAAAGATAACTTGTTTTGGCTTGCATTTTTTTACAAATGTCTTTGAATACATTTGTGACATGTGCCACCGGTAAGGCAGAATATCCGATCTTATGGCGAGCTCCTGGTGTCATCATTGAGTGACTGATCTGCACTAGTTTATGGTATGGTCGGAATAAGAATGGGTGACCTCAGCATGTTTACATATTGTATAAATATTGTTGATCAGCAGTGTAAAGTATATAACATATAATAGTTCATGCCCCAATACCCCTGGCTACACTCATTCTACATTACATCTACTGTGCATTGCGTTCCAGGTACTCGCATAGGTATTTCTGCGGTTTGTGTGGCCATACTCGCACTGACGGTTGCTGCTTTTGTAATCATGAAAAGGTACGTGGAACGCCAAACGAAGACTACATATCTCCAACTATATGCATGCATTTTTCTGCTGCAGCGAACTCGATATCTCATGAACTGGAGACTGTTAATATGAAATCTTCAAAATAACGCCCTTCTGTCGTCATGGCTACTAAAGTTATGGCGCGCACCGTGCATACTTGACATTGAACTGTACCCGTGAAGATCCGGGTTAGAATTGGTCTTCAGTAACCCATGCATGTCGTAAGAAGTGATTAACGGGATCGGGCGGTCAGGCTCGCTGACACATGTCGTCGTATCCCAATTGCGTAGATCGATGTTCATGCTGTTGATCACTGGATTGTCTGGTCCAGACTCGATTATTTACAGACCGACGCCATATAGCTGGAACATTGCTGAGTGCGGCGTAAAACAACCAAGCAACCAATGACATGAAAGTTCGAACTGTTACAAAATGCATATGAGACTTCTTTCTGCCTTTATGTTCAGGATTGTACTAAAGTTCATTTCACCAATAATTAATTGACTTAATACTGCCTTCCAGACGCAAATTGCTTTTCTTTGGAGCAAAACCAACGACTAACAGTACAGTCAACGTCGGGTTTGAAAACAGGACGTATACGATGTCTGAAGACGAACACATCTATGAGTCTGTGACGGAATACCCAGGGAGACATGGTCAACCACCTCTCCCCATCGCCACCGTCAGACCCATGATAAACATCTACATGAACGACCCTCAGAATTCCAAGGAAGAAGGGTACGATGTCTTATCCGAGTGTAGTTCGTTCGTAGCTCCCTCCGTAAAACCTTATGATCGTGTCGTAGTAGGTGGTGATGGCACAGTATCTCAAGGTGGTTACGATCGAGCGAGAATCTTAAACGTCCGACCTCAATTCAATAGCAATTTGAGTCTGGGTGATAATGGTTGTCCGGGTCAATACGAAAATCTCAATCTTAAAGACAACCCTGGGCAAGTGGGTAATGGTCAGCCTGAGGAATCAGACAGAGCAGACGACAGAAATCGCACAATTCCGGGTGCACAAACGACGTATCACCAACATCAGAACAGAAGGGTTGCCGATCCTGTTTATGAAAACATCTCCCGATGTGAAAAGTCCTTCAGCGACGATGATGACGTTAGCACGGGAAACGTCTGCAAACACGACGTGATAACATCGCATAATGGATGTTATTATAACAACAGACAGGCATTGGAAACAGAAACCGCCATTGAAAAAGACGGAAGTCGTGATGGAGAAGCGACAAATGCATGACGAATGTTCGACGTCCTCTTCAGATCATATGGATAACAGTATCCTGTGTTTATATTGTTTTCGTGGTAGAGTTACGTCCCGTTTACGTGTCCGGATCCGAAGATGGCTGGCATGATCAGCCTTCTGATGAGAAATACATCTGGTAGCGAACCCACTCCCTTGTAAGCTTGTTGCCAAGCCGGCACACAGAAAACTGAATTCATCTATACACCAGTGCTTCGAGTCACAGAACGTTATCTGACAGTATATCTATGTCTATAATTCCTGTTGTTTGGCGCCATTACATCAAAACATGATTATCATTAAGTACTGAGCGGGGAGAGGATTTTGGGAAGTTAAATTCTGTAATGTGTGGAACATGACGTTTCAGGGTATGTTATACTTGGTGTTGTTCCACACATTACAGAAGTTGACTTCCATAAATTCCACACGCACACTTTATGTGTATCATTTCTGAATGTCATTCAAAGAGTTCATGTTTATAATAACATGTTACTGACAATACCATTCTTCTTTGGAGATTCAAGGATTAAAACCTACACGATCAGTTTCTATGTTGATTGCTGATTGAAATTGCTTATGACATCATGAAATGTGATTATACATGCAACAGTGGTAGTCATGTCATATTCTACAATCTAGTCGCTTATATATAGAGAGCAATCTGAAACAATTTACAGATCGTTTTGATCGTAGAGATAGCGATATTTCCGAGTTACCAGATGTGCTATGATACGGGGGAAATGTACACAGTAAGTATTTAACACCGCTTCTATGTTTTCGTCAATTCCGTAATTCATATGCACTTTAAGGAAACATCTGAAAGACACTGATTCCAGTACTAAAACATGTCAGAGACACAACCGATACACGATGAAAACCTCGTACTGGAACACAGAATGTTTCTCCGAGGGGGCGCAAGAACCATGTATGATGAAACCGCAGAGGGTGTAAATAGAATAGTAATTGAATACGTATTACCATTGATTTCAATTTCTGTACTTCAGTTCGAATAGACCCCCCTCCTGATGTATAATGTGTCAATCGCTTTAACTAACCTATGTCTATCCATCAAAATCGTTCCTGTTCATCATACCAGCTTCTAAATGTCACTTAAAGAAGTTATGTTTAAATATATTTTAATGAATAAAATTGTTCTCCACAACTGAACCACGTCTTTATGTAAATATTCTGATGGCTTTAAAACAAATCAGGACACGCATAGATATTAATAATTTCTAAACACGAATGTCGTGTGCCTTTCAATGATTAATACAAATAAGATACACACACAAGTATATGTACCTGCATGGTTATCTGCAGAGTTGGTGTCGTCGCTACATCGCTGGAAAAATGCCGATGTGGCGTAAAATTTCAACTCACTCACTCACCCACATGATTCGAAACCGTTGCAAAGTAAAAAATGCGTCTGGTGAACCCACTTACCCGTATGCTTGTACTGTAAGAGTGTGAATTATCCCCTACCGAGGCAGCCGAACGTGGAGACTGATAGAGCCTACCTCTTACAATTACCAACAATTGCTACAGTTTATACCCCAGCGGTTAGAGGGTTTATTTAATTGTATGTATTCAAAAACAGTTTTCATCATAAGTTGCTGTGTCCAAGTGCTTTTACAGGGTGCCAGTTACTGATGAAATATCTGATGTTGCGATATATATCGAAAGTATAGTATTCTATCGGTTCTCGGCAAACTTTGATGATCGATGTGTGAAAAGGCTGATTGATTTTCGGGTTTTCGTTGGAATTAGACACCAGATTTTAATATTATTTTGACCAATCAGAATCAATCATTCTTCAGTGTCATGGTGGATTTGCACACTTAATCACAGCAACAACAACCATGTTCCTGATCATCGTACTGCTGTTTTGTAGAAGAAAAATATTTCATGTACTAAAATTGTAAGTGTACTGGTCCTTCATTTCATGATTTGACTGAACTATTAATTTCTTTCCCTAATACAAACTAACAGATATTACGCTCTTTGGAACGGTGCCAAGCCACCATTGGTTCGTTAACAGACTAACAACTCTGTAAAGGCAGATATTCCATATTGTAATAAATGTGAATATTTTACAGCTATACATGCACATGTACCATCGTCACAGTTGCCTTTGAGTAAATATCACCAGGCTCCGATAATGTCCCACATTAGTGCACTCCGTGTTTCGACGTACATGACTCACTTATAGACTTTCAATTAAATCCCCAAAACAACGTTTCCGTAATCATAATATTCCTTTGCAAAAGGCAGAGTTTATTGTACGATTTCGATTATAACCTGAGCATGTATTTATGAATCAATATCAAACATGTACTATAATAGGTTATTCGAGGGAATCTTGCCCCACGGGCGGCATGCGTCACGAAGACAAGCAAAGCCCTAGAAAGATATGTCATATGTATTCTTTATTGGTAGTTTCATGTAGAGAAGTGACAATGTGCACAAGCATATCTATCAATGTCATATTAATCATGGAAGCGTTGATGATAAAGGCTTCATTGTTACAATGATCCAGATTATCCAAATTGACATCCCCTCGAAAACATATATCAGTACTATACCTGAGAAAGGAAAAAAATCCAATTCGAATTTCTCAAAATAAATTATAAAAGTTTACAAAAAGGCGAAATCACGTGGGGCTATTCATCTCTTGAATCCTTTCACCTATGTCTTTGTAATAACAATAAATTCAGACCCATTGCGTTTGGGTTCACTCAGATGACCGCGCGTTTCACCTTAGCCGGACCGAGAGCATTTGGTAGAACAATGAGGTCCGTCCTTTCCACGTCCGCCGACACAGCAAGCGTGTCCAAGAATCCTATTGATTGGTGTCTCAGTAAGATAGAGGCAGCTCGACTCACAAATAACACTGCTTTTACTCCATTCAACTGTGAGGCTAGTTCAAGAGCAACCTCTGGATTTAGACAATCGCAGGAAACGAGGTCCAGTCTTGAAGGGAGAACTCTCTGGATTTCTGCAACCCACAGGACCTCGAAGTCTCCATCAGCCTGGACAAAACTACGCATACAGGATACAAGTATTTCGGTCTTCAGGTGGAGCAAGTCGTCTGCAGTCACGGAGCTGACGAACAGCTGCAGACGACATTCAACAGGGACGTAAAAGCGCTGCCAGCTTACCATCGATATGTATTCAGCGTTTGCACCACGGCGAAAACGTTGTCTCAGAAGCGTCCTCTTGTGGCGAGATTCTCGATCAGCTGCGCGAGACTCTAGCAGGCTTTCCTTCATAAGTTCTCTTGGCACCTTCAAGTGATTCGATTTGGGCGATTTTGTTGGGGATTCCGTTAGGCTGCTTTCACTTTTAGACGAGTTCAAGGATGAGTTAAGGTTTTCACTAGTTTGTCGTTTCAGCTTGAGATCATAATACTTAGAATACCACAGTTGCATGTCCAGCCATACCGTTTTGGAATTGGCCACGCTTCCTCTGGGGTAAAATGGACCCCACACTTTTCGGACAGGAATATACTTGCAGTACTTCTGAAGATCAGGTACGCGTATGTCCAGCGGGCAACACGATGATTCCTTGCTTTCATTACAATCGGTGCAGCTGTGTGATCGGAGGTGATCGCTGGTTTGAACGACATCGCAACCTAACGCGCTTTGGTTCACATTTCCGGAATGTGCTTTCAGGAGATCTCCGATACTGTCCACCTTACATATTCCTCCCAAGCCCTTTCTTTTCTTACAGAGCTTCTCCTTTCCTCTTTTGAACACAGATTTTATTTTATCTAATGCTTTGGCTCTCTTGACTGTTTTGACAATTTCTTGTCCAGACCCCATCTGCGAGAAATCTCTGTAATCATTACCGCGTAACCTGAAATTGAATTAAACATTATTATAACTCGCCAATCGTTTAGTATGAGATACATCTATCAGCGCATACAAGGGCACTTTGAGATCAAGTGTCCTGAGAATGAGCCACGTGTCTATAGTTAAAAACCAAATCTTCATGTTTATTAAGTAATAACCTGTAAACAAACGCAGTATGTTCATTAATACCGTAACCTAACATCGTATTTAAATATTCACACCAGGAATTAATTAACTTGCTGGGGAGTAGTAATGAGGTCCTGCACATAATTTACCAATAAGAAGGAACTGTCCGGCAGTTGCAAGCATAATCATTCCCCATACATCAGACTTGTTATTAATTACATGCTGTTGTAAATAATAATCTTATCTTTGTCACAACATACTATGTGTCTACAAAATGTACACCGAAACGTCGCTCTATATATATGCAATAAACAAGGCGTTGTTATCCATAACGTGCTATGCTTCATTATTGAATCGCCAAGCTTTAGAATGTCGGTCATACAACTGAATAATCCCGCTTATCATAGTGTTTACTGGGTCCTTTACTGGGTTTCATTCAATGTTTGTGTGTGAACTAGCGAGGTGGTACCTGCAACGCATGGAACGTCCAATGGCTATTGGCACGCTGGTAAGTGGCAAAACCCAATTTGCAGTGGCGCAAACGTTACATGACTCAGACTCTTTATTTTCGTAGATGATGGCCGTTGAGGTCTATAGTACAATGCCGTGCTTAGTATGGGGAAATCATAATGACATGAGCGCCCGTAAACATTTTGGTCAGATAGATAGCAGTATTAAACAATACAGATTTATCTTGGCTGGACATCAACTGTGTAAATTTAAGTCTAGAGTGGTATGTAAAGTAATAAGGTGGTACATACTTCTCTCTAATGTTTTGGTACAGAGGACAAACTAATAGGCTCTGGCTGAAGGATGGTATTGAATACAATAAGAAGATAACAATGAGGATTCATGTAGACGTGCACTCCAATCCTGCATACATACATCTTTCAATCGCTGCTTAAATACAATAATAAAATTATCAATACAACCAACATCATGTGCTAGCCAAACAAAAGCAAAGCCATGTGAAAATAGGATGTGGCGAACACAAGACACGCAATTTGTATAACCTTGAACATCAAATTTTTTCACATATCATAACAATGTGTAACATCTATTTTCAGGCATTCTTATAATTTTAAACCAGTATTTAATGACACGCGTATAAATGTTCACATACAATGGAGTACGTCCACACTCTCCCAGAGCAGCTGCATTTGAAGTTCTGTAACTAACTTTTAAAATATATTTGCAAAACTTGGTATGGACTCGTTCATCTGGTTTGCTGACAAACACTCCCCAAATTTCCGCACCGTAAAGTAGAATAGGTAAGATTTTACTGTCAAACATCCTGAAAAGAGTGTCTATTGATAAATCAGGAAAACGATGAAACATTTTACGAATAGGGCCTAGGGCTTTATCAGCCTGTTTTGCTAAAGTATAACATGCTTTAGAAAATATTTCCTACAAGAAAATACTATACCAAGATATTTATAATGGGAGACGACTTCAAGGTCTTCCCCGTTTTAATGACCATCTCTCACATTTTGAGAGTCTACCACCATTTTAAAATACCATGATTTTATTTTTTTCGGTATTAACAGTCAGTCCCCATTTCACACAATAACTTGCTAAGATATCAATTTTACGTTGAAGATTAAGAACGGAGTCAGCAAACATTGAAAATGTTTAACTTTAGATTGGTAGACTTATGCAACTCGTGCCAACAAATCCAAAATGAGTACGGGACTGAGTCATCCGAAACCAGGCTCAACAAAATCAAACTTAAACGGTGAATTCCATTTTGAACAGCAAACTGTTATCAATCTTATTAGAGTACGGGTACCATTACCGGTAGTAGGCCTAATGTGTTTCCAATTCATTCGTTATTATCATACCCTCATACATCTGCTAAGATAAACTAATGTAGAGTATACATATAATGAGGAACTCAGTGGTAAATAAAAATATCAAGGAGTGTTTTCAAAACAAGTGGCAATATTGATCTCCTTGTTTTCGGTAGATCTATGTCTACAATACCACGTTGGAATAATGAATTCGACTAGCATTGATTTTAGATTTAATTCCCTATATAACGAATAAACTCCTAATGATTTCGACTACGATATCATACAAGAACATGAATTTTGTCACTTACCAATAGACGTCATTTTGTTTTTCAGAAATATCATCCGTTAGGCCTGATTTCCCTTTTGTTGGGTTCTTCGCTGACTTTCGTCTTTTTTTCTTCCGAAAAAGTAGCGGCATGATAGAAGTGTTTCTACAACCCCCTACCCCATAGTGTATGGCTTTTCGGACGAAGCGGCCAACTGTCAGCGCGTACGTAAAATCTTCTGGCAGCCGGCGGTGACAGTTACTGCACGTGACTTTGTTTACAGGTGGCGCTGTGATTATACTTCCGCTTCCGGAATAAACACATGTTTCGTTCTGCTGAAAGCAATGTGCAATCGGGAATTTGAGTTTTGAATAAAGCGTTTGCAGTTGCGTCGTATGAAAAGAAGAGATACACAGTCATACTACTCTGTTCTCAGCGATGGCTAGACTGATACAGGAAGGAGATCAAGTCCTGCTGAAAAGAGATGACAATTCAGGGGTGTTTCAAGTGAAACGAAACAGGTAAAATCTGAAAGTGGAAGGAATCTTTCCTTTCTACGAGATTGTTCTTCTAACTATCATTTATCCACTTGTTATGGGTTTAAGGACACTTTTGGTTAATCTCATTAAAAATGGTAAAACGTGTCACTAACTTGTGAACGATAATTTATCCTAAACAAGCCATCACTAAAACTATGTAATCATATTATTTATCATATCAGATAGTTCATAAATAATTTATATTTTGTCCGGTCATAAGTTTGAACCTCACACAGCATGTGTTTACTCACTCTACAATGAGGCGGACAGCGTGACACATACATTGTAAGTACTGGTGGTTTGTGTTAAATATAAAATTGTCAGAAAACTCTTAGGTGAGGTGAAATTGGGTTTAACGTCGTGCTTGAGAATATTTCGCTCATATGACGACGTGCATGCGTGTGTATACATGTGTATGTGCGGCTGCTTGTACTAGCCTAGACTTAAGCTGGTATTATAGTGCTAGCCCACTGAGATACCATGCCGCAGTGAAGCATGAATACCCCACTCACACACATTATACTGACTCCGAGCCGACCAGTCCTTGTTGTACCCATTAATGCCGAGCGCCAGGCAGGGACCAACAACTACCATATTTAAACGTCTTTTGGTATGACGCGGCTGGGGATCGTACCCACGACCTTCTGCTCAGAAAACTCTTAACACAATGATATAGTATATACTTATACTTATGTAAAGTATATATGTAAACTCCACACGATGAACAGTCAAAGCTTATTTATCTGAATGTTATATGTATGATAGTCATTCATCATTCCATTTTCATGATTATCAATATATATCAACTGATGGAAACCCCGAGCAATACTTTCAGTTAAAAAACAACTCAGGTAATTATAACTAATTTTCAGACAACTTCACTTTGACAAAGCCAAATTCACACTAGATGGACTCATTGGACATCCATTTGGTGCAACGTTCAAGGTGGAGAAAGGAGGAATGATCAGAATTGATGATGCAGAAGAGGTTCTTAATGAACTAATGGACACAGAATCATCAGGTACATTATCATGATATACCAGTATTTCTGCAAATCCAGTCAGAATGATCAGTGTGTTTTTGCAGAGACCATATGGTCTCTGGTTTTTGTGAAGAAAAAGTATTATTCATTTGAGATTTGCTGTAAAAGAAGTTTACCATATTAGACAATGTTGTAATACATTTTCCTGAACTGTTGCATCCTGAGCAGTTGCGATTGCAGGTGTTTCTTAAATTAGATGATGATCGAGTATACTTGATATTCAAAGATGCAAGTTGTTGCAGCAGCTGTCCGTGGTAAGGACAATCGGGACTTGGTTGCTGCAGGGTCAAACCAGAAGCTGTCTCAAGATGACATCCTCAAGATGAAAGAAGATGGCAAGAAAGGGGAGGTAATGTCCCTGAGCCTCAGTTATTAAGGATTCTTTTGAAACTGTTTATGCAGTTCCTGGGAACCAAGATGAATTCCATTTGCTTTACATTTTTTTAATTTGTTCCAGGAAATCATTCAGGAGCTGATAACAAACAGTGAGACGTTTGAAAACAAAACAGAGTACTCACAGAGGAAATATCTGCGGAAGAAAATGAAAAAGTATGCAAAGTACTTTATTATAAAGTGAAAGGCGATTACTAGTATGCTCAAGGAGCTATTGCCAATTTTCAGATATCACTCAATGTTTTGATTATTGCTGTGTGGAATCAAGATTAAATCTCCATTTAAATAATAATATGGAACTATCTACATCATAGATATACAAGTTACAACATAGCAGACAAACAGAACATGACATTGAAAAGGAATAGCTGTGTGGATGTTCTTAATAGAAAAGTGGCAATAATCATTTGCACATTGTGAGAGATAATTTGATGTCTTCTGAAGTATTTACTTTGTGGTTGCATATATTTCAGGGAGGTTAAACCTGTAATAAGTATACCTCAGGTAATTTTTCTTTGTTCTTTTTGTGGAGAACTGTTTCATATACAAAGCATAATCTCTGTGCTAAATCCTGAGTTCAGGCAATAACCATGGTTACTGTATTTTCCAGGCACATCTTCATCTTCACAGCCCTGAAGCCAACAGCCAGATTGCTTATTGAGATGGTGTACACCAAATCTCCAGAAAAAATCAGGTATGTCTGAAGAAATACTGGTACAAATGATATACATGGTGTATTTTGAGCTGTTAGAATTTATCAATGCAATACAAACTTGATGATGCACAATACTGTATATCAGATCGTGATTTCATTCTGGATCAATTTAAAAAAAAATACATTTTGAAATTACCCAGACATTATAACCTCAATAATAATGATTGCTGCTGTTATCTTTCTGCCTTTTGTGAAACATTATACTAAATGTGTTGTATATGCTAACATAAATTTGGCAGCCATACCATGAAAACATAGAATGGTTGAGACTAACAACACGACCATTGAGTGAGTGAAAGAATATGTTTTTATGCCGCATTTAGCAATATTCCAGCAATATCACGGTGGGGGACACCAGAAATGGGCTTCACACATTGTACCCATGTGGGGAATGGAGCCCGCGTCCAGGCTGATTGCCTCCACTGTATGGATCAATGTTTACCTGCCTGTCCTGAAATATTGATGACTGCAGCGTACAACACAGTCACTCATATTGCGATATCGCATTTTCATATTGCGATATATACAGTGCGATGTGAAAGCATATATTGCGATATGTATTGCAATCTATTGCAGAAGTATTTTTAAACAAAAAACTGCTTATAATCAAGTTAATGCTTGATTTATAAAGCATGAACACAACAAAATCACTATGCTTGATTAAGCTTCAATAAAAGACTTTTAGTCATGACAAAATAAAAATGTAAATAATATTTGGCACAAATGAAACAAGGAAATATCCGAAGATTTCCGAATGTAAGTCAAAATAGCAGTTTTCGATCAGCGTATTGCAATACATGTCGTTTTCATGTCTGAACCGTTAAATACCGGTAAACCGGTTATATTGCGCAGCCCTACTTATACTACATACCAATACCCTCTCTTGGAGTCAGTTCATTGAGTCAGTCCCACAGCTGATAATATTATTCCCCAAGGTGCTAATCAGTTTGACCTATCAATACAGCTCTGCTGACTTTCTTGGAAACATCATTAGATCAATTACTTGTGAATGTGAAAAGTGTCATGGATGAGTCGGATAAATGTTCATCATAGTCAGCAATGCTCCAGCAGTATCAAAGTGGCCTGTAAATCACCAGGACAACAGTGATGATAATATAAACAGCTGGGCAATCAACCAAATCTCTGAGTATGCGGTTTATTTGCCTATCACAGCTGTAAGTGCCACAGAGCATTGGAGACCAACACTAACCTGGGTAGCAACTTAAAAATGTATCATATGTAACCACTATTTCAGCCATCTCCGAATAGACAGCTTGTCACAGATCCTGCAGTGCGCCAACATCATGGCCGGCATCAGCGTAGCTATTGTTGACACACTACAAGGGCTGGTTTTGGGGTCAGTGATGGAGAGAATGGGAGGTAATTCTTGCTGTTATTTCACATGTACAGTTTGTGTATTGAGTTATCAAATATTAATGGCTTTAGCAAGACAGAGGTACATGTTTGGACCCAGTTTGGCGTCAAATGTTCGTGAAAATTCTTAACTAGATATCCCAATTAATGTTTTTATAGTTAGATGACTAATGTTATGGCTTTGGTGATATGGTAGAGGTGACTTATTTTTCTTGGATAACAGAACAAAGACTTGTTGAAAATAAAGAGGCTTTGAGGCTTAGTTTTGTATTATTGCAAGGAACTATATTGTTTTAATGAAATGTCATTTTTATCCAGTCAATCTGCCATGGAGCCTTAGTTTGTAATCACATATAATCTCAGCTGACTTGTGTGTATTTCCCATGCTCTACAGGTATAGGGAAGGTTGTCCAGTTCTACCCAGGATCTGATCTCAACAGGTAAATTCTTTTTATCATCTAACTTGTCTATCTGAGTCATTCTTTGTTTTACCCCACTTTTTGACAATATTCAAGGAAATCAGAACTCAAGAGTGGAAGGAAGAAAAGCATACGTAAATAAAATGTATTTCAATACAAATTTCCAATCAATTCTCAACCCTACAGGGTCTGATGAAATCTCTTGATAATGGCATTGATATGGATTTGTTTTCTTGTGAAAATGTGGATAACTGGAAGCTCTCAGGAAAATTGTTCTTCTATCAGATTTATTTCAATATTAATTTCCACATTTAGATTGTTTTCTTTTATTTACTTTTTAACAGGAATGTGATAAATTTCTTCGACTTCCCATCAGGATTCAAGGACAATTTATACAATTTTGCACTTAAGAACTTGTCTGAGTTAAAGTCAGGTAGTCAAGAATCTGCTGAGTGCCTGGATATAAAGATGGATACTAAGGAAAAGGGGGATAATTCCGGAGAGAAGCAATGTGACAGTAGTAATAAAAGTGGACAAGAAAGTGCTGAGTGTCCAGATATGAAGATGGAGACTAAAGAAAAGGGAGATAACTCTGGAGAGGAGCAATGTGACAGTAGTAATAACAGTGGACAAGAAAGTGCTGAGTGTCCAGATATGAAGATGGAGTCTAATGAGCAGGGAGATAACTCTGGAGAGAAAGTATGTGATAGTAATAACAGTGCTACATGTCAGGACAAGAGCCATATGAAGACAGATGGCAGTCAGGTTGGGGAGAAGAGGAAGGGAGATAACTCTGAGGTAAACCATTAAACGTCACATGAAAAACAGGTTTTTGCTCTGCCTACATTCTACCTTGTGCAGCAAACTGACCAGGGAAAGTTGTCAAGTTTTCCATGTAATTAGTTTGTTTTCTGTTGTAGAAAGTGGACAAAAGATTGGAAAAAGCCAGAATACAAGAATATGTGAAAACTCTTATTTTGCAGAAGGATTTTGACTGGTAAGAATAAGTAGAACTTTGCATAAATATTTACTGTATCTAGCGCAACATCACTTACATTATTTCAGTTATCAGAATTCATTAATTTTGTTTTTGTAATAGTTAAGCCTAAAATTTACCTTCAAGCTCCTGGTTACCGACCAATACAGAATTTGTATAAGAATAACATATTTCAGTATAATCAAATGATAACGGTAGCTTCTTTGTCCACAGTTTGATTGTTGCCTGCAAGCACCACCCGACACCTATAGTGCTGGCTCTTCTGGAATATGTTGCCCCTTCGAGACCAGTTGTGGTGTACTCGTCTTACAAAGAGGTAACATTTCTCCCTGACAAACCTCAAGGCTCTTCATTGTTCTTGGAACTAAATAGGGTATCAAGTGGTCAAAATTGTGGTCAGTATCGCTGTATTGAGTGATCATGTGAAACAATGTATGGTACCCAAACAGCATTGGCTATTGCTACCACTTTCAGGAATAACCAAGGCTGACGATTAACATTGAGGTGATGAGAGTAAAAATATCCAAGTAACAGCCTATAAAACTGCTAGTTCAAACACCTCTGTTACTGGCCAAATATGAAGAGAATCTCACCCAAGCAATTCATTGTAGTGATATTCCCAGGAAGATATTGTTTTATTTCACCCAAGTAGCTTGTCCTTTGGAATGCAGTTTTGGAGGACTTCAGAGAAAAAATGGAGCAATTGTTGGGCTTAACATGCCAACAAGTTCCAGAATGCTCATCAAAGATTCCAATAATAGTTTTATTATAATTTTTGCTGTAAATATGGAAAGTTATTTCATGTATATCATTTCATAGGGTACTTCTAGCCTTGTTGTGACTGTCTGTTAGACCATGTCTGTGATGTTTTGTCTGCTGCAGGCTCTGATGGACTGCTACAACTGTGTGAAGGAGCGAGGTGGTGTACTGAGTCTCAGACTGACTGAAACATGGTACAGAGAATATCAGGTAGGAGGGTGTAGGGGCTGCCAGGGGTTAAAGTTGGGGGCATGTGTACTGTTGCAATACCACATATTGTCTTTAGTTATCATGTCTTTAATACAGTATTTGTATCGTGGTACTAAATGTTGCCCCAGGCTCTATACATAAGGCCAGACCAATTTTATTTCTTGTTTTATGGATCCACTGGTCATAATTTTTCTAGAATAAGAAAAAAAAAAAAATTCCCTGCTCCAACAATATAATCCTTATGTTTTTATTGGCCAAAAATGTAAACTTACGGAAAACATTTTGGATTGTTTAGTGCCCCATATAAATTTCATAAATTGCCAAAAATAAAATACTTTTAGTATTTAAAAGGAAAATTATTTTGGACTAGTGATATTTATTTTGTATTTTTTGTCCCTGACTGACTGACTGACTCACTCACTGTATGTCATACAGGTACTCCCAGCTCGGACTCACCCAACGATGCAGATGACAGGTACAGGTGGATACCTTCTGACATTCACCACGGTCAGCAGCTAGGACAGCACCAGGAAGAACCTGCAGCATGAACCCATCATCAAATATATCGCCTTTCAGCAGAAGACATGCACTGGCCTTATTGGCGCCTAGGTGTCAGAAACATACCAGTATGTGAAATATGTTCTGACATTGCAATTTACGGACTGGAAAATTAATTCAAGATCATATTTTGAAAGTGAAAATGGCACGACTCTTTCAACATAAGACACCATGCAAACTGTTGCTAGCTGTGGTCAAGCAGGCTAGTGTCAAGTTTTTGCGTGGAATTGCCAGAAAGATTATCATCACCACCAACTGATATCCAGGAGCCTATAATGGAACCTTCTGGAACCTACTGATATTTTAGTGAGGCTCCAGTCACAATGTAAAGAGCCTTTCATGCAACCTGACTTCAATCAGGATCTGGACCATGGTGTACATTCCAAGCTATACACTTGTGGATTTATGGAAAGAAATGTGGTTTTATTATCTTTGATCATGAATGCAACAGATTTTTGTCTCCATTCTGACATAATTGTCTTGACAACCCATCCTGGTTAAGGAGCATCATATGAATAAATACTGAAGATGTGAAACAAATATATTCATATCGTGTGTTGTTTTTCAAAGAATCATATTGAGCCATTCTCATTTAAGTTAATGTACACCAGATTTATTTGTCCACCAGTCTTGTTCTCCACAATGACCAACTGACTGTATGGTTCATTTCAGCTTTAGTGAGTGAGTTTAGTTTTACGCCACTTTTATAAATATTCCAGCAATATCACGACAGGGAACACCAGAAATGCTCTTCACACATTGTACCCATGTGGGGAATCAAACCCAGGTCTTCGGCATGATGAGCGATGCTTTAACCACTAATCTACCCCACTGGCCAGTTCAGCTCTAGACATACTCTTCTTCATAGGCACTAACCAATGATTATGACATTGCGTAGCCGGGTTCCTGTTAACTTGTATTCCATCACCTCAATTTGAAATGACTGATTCTTTGTGAGATGTTTTAATGTTGTCACGGTATGGATGTTGATGTTTTTACCCTACTTTTTACAACATTACAGCAATATCATTGGAGGGAGATACCAGCAAGTTCATTTCAAATATGTAGCTACATGCAGAATGGAACCAGTCTTCAGAGTGTTGAATGAAAGCAGAGCAAAACCCTGCTTACTTACTCAATCTGACGTATCATATGCATCAAAATAACACACACCCAAGTGAGTTTTGAATCATTTTTATTCATATAGTTGGTGGAATAAGTAAAAACAAAATTCATAACATAAGTTTAGTATATTAACCATATCTGAATTTCTACAAGCATGCAAATTGAAGAACAGTTATAAAATATTTCCAAGTGAAGAAACTATCTGACCAGAACCATCTCTCAAACAATCATCACCATTCTCATACTTTAGGTGTATGTCTCTAGCTTGCTCCATGCCCACCTCTACTCTGATGCTAAAACAATTTGACCTTCACATCAACCCTCAAGGGAGGTGACTCCACCACACACGTCAGTAGTCATCCCAGGGATAGTGTTCCGCCGTTAGAGGAGCAAACACAACTAGGTGTTCATGATGATTTAGCAATAAGGAAATTTAATAACATTTTGGCACACACAAAATATAACTGGCCTCTTTGTCAATATATATACAACTGTTTGAGTATAATTACTGAACGCTGATCTGTTAGCTTTGGTTTCGTTTCTTTATTCAATATCATGACATTCTGCAAAAGTATAACTAAACGCTTCACATGAAGATATATGAAACACATTAAGAAGTATGGTGACTTGGAGAGTTACTTATTTCAGACAAAGCTCTACATGAGCAGATCTAAAGTGTAATATTACATTAAAATCTTCAATTAACAACATTACCAGGTTTGAAATAAAGGGGCTTTACGGTGAATTTATAACAGTTCTAATTATCATTTATGAAAGGGTTTTAATCCCTAATAATCAGTTTTCAGTAACACTTTCAGTCATAATTTGTTAACAGTGAAAAAAGTAACAGCAACTTTATCACGTATAAAACAAGTATACTTAAAACAAATATATTTTACCACTACTCTATCAATTTCTAAAATAGAATTTTTTTCACAAAATACTTTTAAGGACAAAGGTATGCGTTATCTTCAAGATTTGGAACTGCTCCCTGAAAGTACATGAACATGTCAGGTGAGACGAAGGGAGACAACTTTTGATCCCACTTAAAAAGTCATCAACTAATTTGCCGCACAAGGGACACAAAGGAGTATCTAAAATACCTCTGAAGAAATGTCAATTAGTTTCCATTTCAAGCACTGGTACAACTCTTAGCTGTTCCTGATGTAATCCAAATATCATCTCAACTTAATGTGTGTACACGCATAAAAACAATTTGTAAATAAGGCCTTAAAAAGTCTGGGTTTTCAAAAACCACCATAATGACACACACAAAAATTAGCACTAAGCATTTCATTCCTGCTCATTAGACTGAAAAATACTGACACCAGAAAATAAATAAAGACGTTATAACCTGGAAACCCTGTATGTAGATACCCAGAGCTTAATACATGAACATAGTTTTGCTTACAAACTTGGATTTCATTTACACAAAATATTTAAAAGTGAAAGTATATTTAAACCAGAACCTTTGATTTTAACATGAGCTTACATGTGTGAACATGACATTATGAATGGTACTATCAAACATGAATATGTACAAGCCTTTACCTTTAAAAATATTCCAATATGGTATTGAGTAACATAGTGAGATCTTACATACCTTAATAACAGAATATACTAAATTCAATGGTGCAACAGAGCCCATATATGAATGAGTAAATTAAAATATATAAATAACTAAAAGAATAAAAGAAGCATAAAAACATGGCACAAGAATACAAAACAAATATTGCACAGAATGAATAATCTGACTGGAAATAGCCATAAGCGACTAAAGGGAGACTACTCTCTCAGATGGCTGTCCAAGCAGTTTCACTCCCGTTGAACAAAGGTTACTTTATTTGCCGGAAACAGACATGGAATTTGTCCTCAGTTTCTTGTTCACTCTTATTACTATTGATTATCCAGTGTATATGCACCTTAGACCTATCACAGATTGGAGTTTCATGTCCTGATCAACAAGTCTCTCAAAACTAACCTAATATGCAATCTGTTTTGCTGAGCATGACCAATAAAAATGTGTCTTCTAAACATGATTTTGGCATAGATCTACATTTCCAAATTGTAGCTTCCTTCGAGCAAGTATTCGTTATATTCATATTGACTTCAGGAAAGTGATGAAAAACTTGAATGAGCTGTAAAAGATGCTTTCTGATAGTCAAGAAAATGGAGGGAAGTCTATTTGTTACAAAACATACCTCATGTAGTCCGACAACACAAGAAATTCAGTCCATCTAATCAAGTGCTTGTTTCATTAATGTGAGACCCACGTAAAAAGACGGGGCATGTAGATTTATCCCATGTCATTTAAACTGGACACAGAATACAAATACAGTTGAGAACAAGTAAGGGTATTCAATTGACATTTAACATGCTGGACAACTGTGGAAATATATAGCAAACAGACCATGTCTCTTCATGCTATCAAGCTCTGGACAGACTGATAATGACGTTTTACCACACTGTGAAGAATAGTCTCCCCTTAGCAATTCATAAATCATACAATGAACTGTACTTCCTCCTCACATGAGTCAAGCACTGACATACCTAGTCTTAAAATGAAGGTGACCTGAACAACACCAGTTTTCAAACCAAGACTGTCAACATTGTAAAAAACATGTAACTGTTAAATGTATTTCAGAATGATAAGAATATACAAGCTTGAAGGATCACAACAGCACATCACTTAAGGCTTGCCATCTCCGCCAGCTAACACTTTAAAAACATCTCATTATGATCAGATCTTTAACTCCAATGTTTTACCTTTAAGCCAAATCTACATGTCCTTGAGCCAATCAGATGTCCTGAACAGTTTTCCTCAAAACAATTCGGTATAGATGCCACTGTGTTCAGATTCAAATGGGTGTACTAACATGTCAAAAAAGCAAACAATTGCTCTACGGAAAGTAACTTAAATTCTTTAACCTTCAATTTAAATCGGCTTCCGCGATACAGCAATGAGATACACTGATTCAAAACCTATGCTCACACGCACTGAGAATGTAGAAGTCTTCATGCTCATTTGCCAATAAGAAATCACTTGTTGTGACCTCCTGTTGAAAGATGTTAGATCTTCATGCAAATATGGATGTGAAAGATCTGAACATAAAGAGATTGCTTTCACAGCAAGCCTTGGCCACCATTTACCATAATGCCAAGCGTGTCTTGTCTAGTTTTGATCTTTGATAAACCTTAGAGGACATTCTTGCCTCTGTGAGATGCCAATAAGACAAAACTCAAGATACCAATCTAGATGTATTACATATCTGGCATCCAGATGATCAAACTAGGGTGATATCACCTGTTAAACCCCAGCATTATGTCACATGGGGCTGACCCAATGACCCTAGAGTACAGTGTTTGATAAATACTCGTGTGTGAAATGATATTACAAAAGAAAGACCAGTGGTTATTAACTGCGTATAGTAATACACAATATTGATGAACTGGTCACTTCAGGCAATGTGTTCCAATCTCTTAAGTGAATCAATTTCAAGTCTTGTTAACCAATCAAAACATTGCACTGGAAACCTGATGTATAATACAATAATGAGTATATTGATTCCACAAACTTGTATGCGCAAAGTGCAATAACTTCATTTCCCCAATCAATGGATCAGTGCACTCTTAAAAGTCATTCTCAACTCCCTGGGGAGTCTACAGCCCATCACCAAGAGGTGGTAGATAGTAACAGTCCTATAACCATCTCATCCTATCAGTTAAAACACATTTTAAATTTTTTACTGCTTCCAACACAAAATAGGGACATGGGTAAATTAATTAATATGTAAACTGTACAGATTTTATGAGAGGATTTTAAGATCAAACCATGAGCAAGTCTTTGGGCCAAGTTACATTTCCATAACATTAAACTTAGTCAGTGGGTCAAATAGAACCCTTTAGCCTATTCCTTTCCAAGGTCTTTCTCAAATATTACTATGGGACAGGTAGGTTTCCGCCCTTCTGATTGGCCCACATGGTCACATGACAGCTTTGACGCTAAGTGATGTCAACCTCGCCATGTCACGAGAGGTTGATATCATAATCCAAGCACCTCCTGTGGCTAAAAGTAGATTTGGAATATTCCAGCTGTGAACTCTGCACTGTGTGCGTCACGCTAGATAAGGAAGCGTCCCTGTGACTGTGTTGGTTTAGAGTTACGTCCCATCTGTATCAAAATGGCAGGCACCACGAATATTCGTGACTGTCTGGAGGGAATAAATCGTCTATATGACAGAAGAACAAGTATTCAGTACTTTTGTCATATAATAAAACAATTATTAACTTCAGTTCGGTTGATCCAATGATTTATCGACCTTGGACATGTGATTCGCCTCGGTTAATATCACATGTCCAAGGTCTATAAATCATAATATCAACCTCACTAAAAGTCAATAATAGTATAGTATCAAGTACCTTGTCCTGTACATGTTGTATAATGCTTGTCAGGCATGGCAGATATAGTGCAAGAGGCATTCTTACACACTAACATCATGTATATGAGCAACAGGTTATTGTATTTGATAACAGATATCTGATGAATATCCCTTCAGTAAAGAATCTCATATAACTTTGTAGTTCAAGCAAAAGGAATGTTGAGCAAAGTAATATACACTAATTGCACACGTAAAGCACTCTATATTATGTCATTGACAGAATTCATCACTGAAGCAGTACTTCAATAGTGAAATCGACAGAACTAAACATGTCACTATTAGTAAATGACAGATAAACAATGGAGAATTAAGAGAATGTTTCACATTTGACTTTTCACATCTTGTTAAATCAGGTGAATTATGCCTTGTAGTAATGCTGAAATGGATCATCCTCATTCATCTAGGGTGTTATATCTTGTTCCATTAGAATAAGTACTCTGGAGCCATTGCTTCACAAGCTTCGTACAAAACCAAATGACATGGTGCCAAAAATGACAGGCCAATCAAATTACAATGAAAAAAGTGCTCAGATAGTGGTTTGATGATGGAGATGGTGATATCACTTCAGAATCATGACTTAAGTGGCAAATAGGTCCAGCGTATTTATCATAACGACAAAGACATTAGATTCTGTATAACAGAGGATAAAGAAGGTATGACTTCTGTCAAGGCAGTGTTGTTGGATATTTGATCATTCTGCTCAGATAGGCTGAAGCATTCTCATGAATGTATTTGTTGCTGTTTAATGCCACTCGCCAAATATTCCAAACAATCCAGTGATTGACGTCATGAGCATCGATCTATCCCAAGAGGGCCTGAACAGGTATACTGTTTAGCGTAAGGCTTGTGGAGCAATCACTAGCTACACACTAACAGCTTCTGGGCAAATGTATCTTCAACATTTAGTGGTACTGAAGTTTCCCGTAATGTCTACATAATTGTCAAAATCCAAAAACAGAAATGAAGATTGTTTTACAGGTCTACGGGCTAATTTAAAGAGACAAGTGTTAATAAAATATTAAAATGAGATTTGCTAGGGATACAGACACAGGAACTGACAACTTGAATGTATGTGAGTTTGAAATTTAGTCTCTGAAAAAAAAGAGAAGGGGCATCAGTGGGGAACATCCATCACCAGTACTTCACAAATGTGCACACACAACATTTCCCCATCACCCATACTTCTGCCAACTTGCAGTGAAGAGGCTATTGTCAATGAACGAATCAAGACAGCCTGGTTCTACCAAGATGGAATCAGCAGGTGCTACAACCAGTGAGTGGTCAGACCCACTTTATTTACTGGAGCCTTACAGCTATTTGTTAGTGAGTGAGTGTGATATTTGTGAGTGAATATGACGTTTGAGTTTTAGTTTTGAGCCACCGTTAGTAATATCTCAGCAATATCATAGCGGGGACGACACAAATGGGCTTCACACATTGTACACATGTGTGGAATCGAACCCAGGTCTTTGGTATGATGACCCAACGCTTTGACCACTAGGCCACCTCACCACCCCTGTGATGCTCATACCTCTTAAAAAAACTAGGGTCGGCACCAGAATTCAAGGGTCGGTCAGGTAATCGGAACCACAACGTGTTTTTTTAGGCCTGAAATTGGGAGGTGTTTGTGATTTGCTTTGTGGATTCCGGCTGGTGTTATGTCTCCAGGATGGTGTTATACAGTACCCTGTGTTTGGTGCTAATGTTTACCACATAATGGAGAGGCACTTTTGAGTAAAAAAGTATAAACAATCATAACAGCAAGAAAATAACATGGACAAGTATTACTTGCCATAATCTGACATTAATAAATACAACATGCTCATAGATGAAAAAAAGTACAACATAGTGGCTTTAAGTCCACTAATAAAGGCACTATCTTTAGGGATTTTCATAACAATAAAAGTGTCTAAGGCAGCAATAAAGTTAAGATTCATAAAAGTGCATAGCATTTTGAAAATATAAAAATTCATTACCATAATATACACAAAGAAAATCTAACAAAATACACCCTAATTCCTCAACATAATCAACTATAAGAAGCTGTCAAACTAGACGCAACACAATCATTAAGTTATCACTAAATTTCATGTTGAACATTAATAAAATTAAATGTCACAAAACTATACAAAAACTATGAGAAAAAGGAAGTTTTTAAAAACAGCTGACAATATTTCCCTGATTTTTTTAGCTGATATTTATAAGATTTAGATCTTACAGCATGGATATGTTGTCTGGAAAGTAGTACCTGGGTAAATAGGGTGATCATGTCAACTGTGTTTCACACATTGTTACTCAAGTACACAGACAGCTGGCCTGATATCAGTCTCCACCTGAACATCAGCTGACAAATGAATATTACCACCTTTGTAATCAAACATCCTGTCAACAACAATCTGAAACAAATATTTGAGCCAACTGTATGATCAGGATTTGTCTGCCAACTCTGGAGTTACAGAAAGATGACCAAGCATCCGCTACCTGATAGTGGATCTAAGCAAGGAATATACCTGGGAGTACCTGAGCAAGTTGACAGTGGAATCTGTCCTTCATGGAAGATGTAGCATACATGGGGCCATCAACTTATTTACACAGAAAGACCAGGGGTTCTACAAATACTCCATACATATATGAAAACAACTGAAAAGGAAACAACAGCTCTCTACATTTCTACATCATCAGCAGTATAGAAAATGCTGATAATGGCACATGAAACATGGAACCAAGGGCTGCCCATCGATGTCATCTGTACACAACTGGGAAACAACATGGAAGACAATCACACACCCTGCATTGCTCCTTTGAGTTTGAGGAAAATATTGCCTGAGTGATACAACAGGAATGAAAGTTATACATGTACAAGAAAATGACTGGGTAATTCTCACATAATCTGTTTCAAGGTAATAAACATCATAACGCCTTACTAATCTCAATGCATCTTACATATCTCCTTGCAAGGTAACTGATATCTCATGACCACCTTACATATCTCTCGTGAGATCCTTCCATATCTCTTTGCTTGGGATCTGATATCTCAAGAGCACCTTACATATCTCTTATGACATCCTTCCATATCTCTTTGCTTGGGATCTGATATCTCAAGAGCACCTTACATATCTCTTATGACATCCTTCCATATCTCTTTGCTTGGGATCTGATATCTCAAATGCACCTTACATATCTCTTATGAAATCCTTCCATATCTCTTTGCTTGGGATCTGATATCTCAAATGCACCTTACATATCTCTTATGAAATCCTTCCATATCTCTTTGCTTGGGATCTGATATCTCAAGAGCACCTTACATATCTCTCATAAGATCCTTACATATCTCTTTGCTTGGGATCTGATATCTCAGAAGAACCTTACATATCTCTTTGCTTGGGATCTGATATCTCAAGAGCACCTTACATATCTCTCATAAGATCCTTACATATCTCTTTGCTTGGGATCTGATATCTCAGAAGAACCTTACATATCTCTTTGCTTGGGATCTGATATCTCAAGAGCACCTTACATATCTCTTATGACATCCTTCCATATCTCTTTGCTTGGGATCTGATATCTCAAGAGCACCTTACATATCTCTTATGAAATCCTTCCATATCTCTTTGCTTGGGATCTGATATCTCAAGAGCACCTTACATATCTCTCATAAGATCCTTACATATCTCTTTGCTTGGGATCTGATATCTCAGAAGAACCTTACATATCTCTTTGCTTGGGATCTGATATCTCAAGAGCACCTTACATATCTCTCATAAGATCCTTACATATCTCTTTGCTTGGGATCTGATATCTCAGAAGAACCTTACATATCTCTTTGCAAGGGATCTGATATCTCAGAAGAACCTTACATATCTCTTTGCAAGGGATCTGATATCTCATGAGAACCTTACATCTCTTTGCAAGCCAAATGATATTTCACAAGCACCACACGTCTTTGAAAAGGAATTGCTATCTCATGAGCCACTTACTAATTGCTTGAGAGGGGAAATGATATCTGAAGATTACTTGGCAGAATACATAAAGGCAGAATTTCAGCATAAAATGACATAAAATCAATAATCATTGTTCACTAAGCTATATATTTTAGCTAAATGATTGGCATCTTATCAGGACACTGTTTCTGCTGTAGTGAAACTCATGCAAACCAATACCACGCAGGTACAGATATATATAGATATGACAGATGTATGGATCAGATATGTCACAGTGACAAACTGGTTATGTTCCATGTCCAGGCCTCTTACAATATAATATTGCTGACAGGAGTTTCACCTGGTTTATCATATACATGTATAATCAAGATAATAAACATGCATTCAAGTCGTCTCTTATGGTAACAACTTTTCACAAAATCTGCTTCAACTGATCTTTATCATTTTGTTCTTAGAGTAAAAGAAATGTGCTGATTTGTGAAAATTGTCATGATGATGTCGACATCACTCAGTAAAGATGATCTGGCACAGAAGACAATGTAACAGATGGAAGTATCATGATCTATTCACATGACTGATCCTTACACCACAGTAGTACCTGCTGGGGACTTGAGGCAGGCTGGGTATCACAGGGGAGGACCAGGGAAAAGTATGACATGGAGAGTGATGGCAGTGATGACCTCCATGCCCATCGCCAACACTGGAAAGGAGTTAGAGGATCACAGAGGAATTATGGAGGTCCACAGATGAAATGTGCATGAATTAAATATGTTAGCAATGGTAGTTTCTACTGCTGTACTGGCAGGCTGTGGAACAGTGTTAACTCATGTTTGTGAGTGACGGCAGTGACTGTCTCCGCGCCAACATCACGGCAGGCTGAAGGTACTGCTGGAGGAATGTTATGCTGAGGGGCTGCTTCGTCACCATATCCTCAAATGGCATTTTCTCGGATGTAGGCTTTGGAGCTCCACAATCAATCTAGAAAGAGACGTAGTGTGCCCAGTTGTTATAATGGGGACCTAATATACTGTATTATCACTTCCCACACATTTCACATCTGCCAAGACAAACTACACCTGCAGGATACAAATAGATACAACATGAATGTGAGTTTTAACATACATCTACATAAAAAAAAGCAGTAAAGAGCAAGACAAGTCAGAAGCTGTCGTAAATCATGTCGAAAATATTTTAGGAATTTCATCCCATGCTTTCTTCAAAACACTTTAATTGTCATAATTTTCTTGCAAATACAGAGTAAATAGAAACCACCATACATGTTGCCAACATTCATTATCTCATGAAACACACCGTGTACTTAGTCCCACAAAAGTTTCCCATTTCAAGTAAATTACATCACACATAATTTGAAGAGTTTATTTAAAACTATGAAACACATCTAACATTTTTCTTGAATATTGGACAAGGATCGAACACATGTTTTATCACTGAATGAAAACTAGGGCAAAACCTAAATAGGTGACGACTGAGAATACAGCTGAATATCTCAGAACACATGGATGACACAGATCGAAGCTCACACCACTAACCAATAGTTTATGCCCCCATCTTTACAAAGCTGACATACATATATAATACTCAAACGGAAATCTGACTATAGTAAATATGTTATGGGCATGCCAGATTAACTTAAGTCATATAAAAAAATATCAGCTGTTCTTTAAGTGAAGGAATGAGTTTATATTTAAGCCACTGTCAGCAATATTCCAGCTTCACACATTGTACCTATGAATCCAACTCAGGTCTTTGGCATGACAAGCGAACGCTTTTACCACTAGACTATCCAACCGCCCTAGCTGACTTCTCGTTATTTATGACTAGGGCAGTTAACAACTTTCCCTTTCAGAACAGGGGTGGTGGAGTAGCGTAGTGGTTAAAGTGTTCACTTGTCATGCCGACGACCTGGGTTCGATTCCCCACATGGGTAAAATCTGTGATGCCAATTTCTGGTGTCATGATAACGCTGGAATATTGCTAAACTCACTCACTCACTCTTGGAGAACTGCTGTTTGTTAGATGAGTCGACTACCATCAACACGTAACAGTTCTGACTGACCTGCATCAAGTAGGTGACCATGGAGTAGACCTTGTTGTCCCTATGTACTGGTTGTATGATCCACCCACTGGGCAGCAGCTGGAACACATGGCAGTCAATACTCATACAGGTTACACTAAACTCAATCCATAGCTTAACCTGCAGTTTTCTTAGGGAGCCTTCAGTGACGGAAACATCTGGCAGCTGCGATTGGATGATTTTGTGTTAGACTTCTGTGTTTTTCAAATGTATATCTACCCAGTAATTAAAATGGACCATACTTTTTAATATTTAGGGCTGTATTTTAGAATGCAAAGGAGCATGATAACTTATACTGACTGTGACCTCATATAGTTTCAAGAGGGTGACATTTTGTATGGAACTGGTACAGCTTCCTGCACTCGGAAAAGGAGCTGGCTGAGGTAGTAAATTTTTATTGCTTTTTTAAGGCCAGACTATGCACACATGTACATGTAATAGCGGTTGATGGCTTAGTAAATTTAAAAAAATAATAACGTTACTATAGAAAATATTTGGTTTTGTGTGACCGAGATCCAAGGCTCTGTAGTTCAACTCAGTGTGAGTGAGGCAGTCAATCCTCAGCTCATACAGACAGATACAAGTTTCTGTGGCTCTGTTGCAGCTCTTGGTGGAGCTGTTGCTCTAAGGGTGTCATCCTTCGGTGGAGTTGTCTCCCATTCTACAGACTGATACACCAGAATGTCCTCCCAATACTTACTGTTGCTCTAAGGGTGTCATCTTTCGGTGGAGTTGTCTCCCATTCTACAGACTGATACACCAGGATATACTTTTCTCCTTCAATTCTCTCACTCTGGACGACACAGAAATCACAGCTCTCTTTCTTGAGAATCTGATGCACCTCATGGTACAGATATACTGAAACAAACACAGGATGAAATACAGAACACCACAAACAGCAAGCCATGTCCAGTGACATCAGGACATGTTATTGAGAAAAGTACAGATTTGACAAGTCAATATTTATCATGATTAACACAATCTCTTGACTATTCAGTGAGTGTTTTAAAGGAAAATGGACATTAAATTATCACTTCTTTTCTGAACAAGATGTGGTGTATGAACTATTATTATCATCAGAATAAACCATCTTACCTATTCTAAGATTTTCTGTAATAGTCTGCACAATATCTACTTTCTGAAACAAAGAGAGGTAACATGTGTAAGTATAGCATTGTTTTTCAAAACGTTTCACAGATTTATATACAAATGCTATAACACTATCATATCCAATTGCGGGGGTGGTGGGGTAGGCTAGTGGTAGAAGCGTTGGCTCGTCACATCAAAGACCCGGGGTTTGATTCTCACATGGGTACAAATTTTACTACAATGCGTGAAGCCCATTTCCAGTGATCCTCGCCATAATATTGCTGGAACATTGCTGCAACCATACTCACTCACTCACTCAAGAAGTCACAGTGTTGTGTTCCCTGCCAAGATATTGCTGGAATATTGCTAAAAGCGACGTAAAACCATACTCACTCACTCACTCACTCAAGAAGTCACAGTGTTGCCCATCCAATCCAATCGTTCACCTCTTACAACAAGCACAGGTTGCGGACAACAATTCTGTTTCAAATTCCATACAGGATCAAAGGATAAAAAGCCAGAATTGAAGACATATTTCCAAGCCAGGGGGACTAAGTTTGGTCAAACGACATGGGCGAGCAAGACTGGGGTTATGTGGCATGTATGTTTTACTTGATTTTCAAGAAATTTACTATTGTCCTTGATGGCAGTTTCAATGTAAGATTGAAGAAAATAAATAAACAACACATTAAACTTAGAAAGTGTTTCTTGAATCTGCAGTTGTGACAAATCTAATGATTCAGTGATACTACCCTACATTACTAAAGGTTTACAGTGTAAATATTTGCGTCCAAATATACATATAGGAGGCAATATTTGTAGTGTCCAGTAAAACCCTGAAATACGATTAGACGATAATGATCTTCTTTAAATTCTTTTAATCATACTATTAAACCATCGTAAAGATTTTAAAGGATATTCAAAAGTATATTATCGTCACGATATAGCTGAAATATTGCCGATGTGACGTTAAATATTAACTCACTCACTCACTCAAAAGTATATTTATAAAAATATTATATCATTTCCTCTTTACCATCCCAGAAAGTCCCTGCAACTGATCTGTAAGTGGTATATGCGAGTCATTGTACCTTTAATGATTCATCATATGTAAATCTTGTCCTGGGGTTCCTGAGGGCCTCCCACACAGTCTGGGGCGGGGCTTCCACCACACCCTTACCCAGGTAGCTGAAACATGGAGGTGAGTTGAGGTGGAATGGGGTATAACATTGCATTCAATAATATAGGTGGTGTATCTAACACAATACAAGACTGACTGACTGAGTTTTGGTTTTACGCCGCTTTTAGCAATATTCCAGCTACATCAGGGCGAGGGAACACCAGAAATGGGCTTCACACATTGGGATTCGAACCCGGGTCTTTGGCGTGACGAGCCAACGCTTTAACCACTAGGCTACCCCACCGCCCCCACAATACAAGAACAGTTAACAGCTAATATTATACTCAGATCATGCCACGCATTCATTTTTCACAACAAATCTAAGCATCATGGTTCCAATGCATTTTGTTAATTGCAACCCAACTTGAGGATAATGGTTGGGGAAAACCTTCTCATCAAGACTAGAAACATACTTGTATAGGTATTTTAAACACTCCTGGAAATCAAAACTGTAAAGATTTCATATATTCTCCAAAGTTTGGTGAATCAAACACAATATTTTATCAAAAGGCTCCTTCCACAAAGTGATCTGAGCAACAAGAATATCATAAGCCTACGTTAAACTATGGATAATACAATCATCTAAGAGCTATGATCACTTTGTGAAACTTGGCCAGCGGGAGGTATCAATAGCATTCAATAATGGTGACATGTTTGTTTGCTAAACCTGATATCCCACCACCTCCAATGATTATCCACTGAAGTAAATACTACATACCTTTGCACATGTGTCCCCGATTTGAACCATCTCTTCAGTATCACTACATCACTTTCAAAACCATAAAACCTAAACAAATTGCAGAAAATACAACATAAACATGACATGTGAATATTTCAAAGAGCTAGGAAAATTTTAAAAATATAGTGAACAAAGATTGAGGATGTGTGTTTCATTTCATGACATATAGAGCAGTATTTTAGCAATATCACTGCTCAGTTCAGAATTACAGCCTTCAACTTCTACTGATTCATGAGGCCTACCATCAAAGGATTTTTACATGTCCTCAGCTTTATTAAATAGCCGTAGGCTAGGGGACTAGAATTATGAAGGCCGCCACACACCATAAACATGGTCAATGAGACTCTGAACTCTACAGAAGTTTCAGCTGATTTGATCATCCATGAGCCATATATGTAAAATTGTCATTGAATGACAGATGAACTATAGCAATGTATGGGAATTGAGTGGTCCTTTAATTATTTTAGCCATCCATTTAGACATCCGTTGCCTCCTCCCCCCAAGCAGAACATACATCCATCCTCCTGCTGTGCTGAACTGTTCCTCAGCTCCCTTGTCCAGGTCGATGTTGGAGGCCTTCAAAACCTGAATGAAGAAACACTCAACAACTAGCCAACATACATACAATCTTCCCCAGGCAAGGAGGTTAACTGACTAAAAGTCAAGTTTGGACCCGTGCTTTTCAGGATGGAATTTATGATTGTTGCACCACCAGAGGCTATTATGAATTCTGTCTTTTCTTTACCCCTTCTAGTAACCAGATTTCAACTATCATCAGATTGATAATCAAGATATATATTGTAATAAAACAGTTCTTACCTTGCATGGTGCATGCAATTACTTTAACACATTGATTAAACCATGAAGAGAATTGGAAAATGTTTTTTGAGGACAATTTGATGGCACACATGCTTTTTAAATTCTGCAAAGTCTGAAATCTGTCCATCAGTTTATAATCATGGTGAATTTTGAATTCAAACTGCAGATCCTGGACATGCACCCCATGTATTTTATGGATGCTGTGTGTAGTTACCTGGGCAAGCAGTTCTGCAGCAGCCTGGTTGGCCACAGTCTTGTACCTAGACAGCAGGGCTGGATCTGGGGAGATCAGTACACACCTGTACGTAAACTGTTACAAACACACTCAGTGACATACATACTTCTTCGGCTTCTTGTACCAAATGTGTCTGGTAAATGGACTTACAAAGCTCAAGTTCACATTGCTGCAATTTTTCACAATTTGAGGCAGTTTGAGGGTGATTGTGAGGGGTTGTTCTGAAGGTTTGTGAAGCTGGTTGTGAGGGGTGGTATTGTGGACTGGATGTTAAGGTGGTTGTGAGGGGTGGTATTGTGGACTGGATGTTAAGGTGGATGTGAGGGGTGGTATTGTGGACTGGATGTTAAGGTGGTTGTGAGGGGTGGTATTGTGGACTGGATGTTAAGGTGGTTGTGAGGAGTAGTATTGTGGACTGGATGTTAAGGTGGTTGTGAGGGGTGGTATTGTGGACTGGATGTTAAGGTGGATGTGAGGGGTGGTATTGTGGACTGGATGTTAAGGTGGTTGTGAGGGGTGGTATTGTGGACTGGATGTTAAGGTGGTTGTGAGGGGTGGTATTGTGGACTGGATGTTAAGGTGGTTGTGAGGGGTAGTATTGTGGACTGGATGTTAAGGTGGTTTTGAGGGGTGGTATTGTGGACTGGGTGTTAAGGTGGTTGTGAGGGGTGGTATTGTGGACTGGATGTTAAGGTGGTTGTGAGGGGTGGTATTGTGGACTGGGTGTTAAGGTGGTTGTGAGGGGTGGTATTGTGGACTGGATGTTAAGGTGGTTGTGAGGGGTGGTATTGTGGACTGGATGTTAAGGTGGTTGTGAGGGGTGGTATTGTGGACTGGATGTTAAGGTGGTTGTGAGGGGTGGTATTGTGGACTGGATGTTAAGGTGGTTGTGAGGGGTGGTATTGTGGACTGGATGTTAAGGTGGTTGTGAGGGGTGGTATTGTGGACTGGGTGTTAAGGTGGTTGTGAGGGGTAGTATTGTGGACTGGATGTTAAGGTGGTTGTGAGGGGTGGTATTGTGGACTGGATGTTAAGGTGGTTGTGAGGGGTGGTATTGTGGACTGGATGTTAAGGTGGTTGTGAGGGGTAGTATTGTGGACTGGATGTTAAGGTGGTTGTGAGGGGTGGTATTGTGGACTGGGTGTTAAGGTGGTTGTGAGGGGTGGTATTGTGGACTGGATGTTAAGGTGGTTGTGAGGGGTGGTATTGTGGACTGGATGTTAAGGTGGTTTTGAGGGGTGGTATTGTGGACTGGATGTTAAGGTGGTTGTGAGGGGTGGTATTGTGGACTGGATGTTAAGGTGGTTGTGAGGGCTGTGAGGCATTTTTGAGGGGCAAGGTTGTGACAGTGGTAGTGAGGGACGGTAGTATGGTATTATGGGGTGGAAGTGAATTTGTGAGGATGGTTGTCAGGGTGGTAGTATCATATGATTGTGAATGTGGTTGTTAGTGGTGGTAGTATCAGATGATTGTGAATGTGGTTGTTAGGGTATTAGTATCAGATGATTGTAAATGCGGTTGTTAGGGGAGTAGTATCAGATGATTGTGAGTGTATTTGTTAGGAGGGTAGGATCAGATGATTGTAAATGCGGTTGTTAGGGGAGTAGAATCAGATGATTGTAAGTGTATTTGTTAGGAAGGTAGCATCAGATGATTGTGAATGTGGTTGTTAGGGTGGGATATTAGATGATTGTGAATGTGGTTGTTAGGGTGGTAGTATCAGACTGAATGCGATGATGGATGTGAAGGTGCTTGTGATGATTGTTGTGAAGGCCTTCATAAGGAAGGGTGAGAGGGATGGTTCGTTGTGAGATGTGTTTAGAGCAATGTTTGTGCAGGGTGGTCAAGATGGTGGTTTTGACGGGTGTTTTTTGTAGTGCAACCATGGGTTGGGTGGTTGGAAGATAAGAAAGAGCCTGATGATATGTTATCTCACCTGTAAACTCACACGACTGCTCCATGACAGCCTCTGGCACACTGTGAGACTGAGAGTTCTTCCTTCTAGCTACCTGTCTGAGAGCAGCCGAATCACTGACTGACCTCTGGAGAAGCTGCTTGCCATTCTCCACTGTCTTCTTCTCAGACACACTGTCCTGATGGATCTCCTCACTCACTGTCTGACTGTCTCGAGGAGTTTCAGGCTTACACTCATTATTCCCCACAGTCTCTGTCTCTACCTTCTCAGAGGCAGATGAACCAAACTTCAAAATACTGGAATACTTTTTTATCTCTTCCTTTTGAGCTTCAACTTTGGATGCATTGTTACTTTGAGCAGTTTTTTCGATGAATGATTTGAATTTTGTTAACAGTTTGTGTGATTTTTTCCCTTCTGATCGGGACTCTTTCTCATCTGACTTAGGTGTGCTGGATGTAATGTTTGAGGCAGATATGTCTCGGGGCAGTGACAGGGTAAGAAGGGGTGTGGCTTGCATCTTACGCATGTGCAGAAACTCTCGCAGAGATCCTAGAGTAGCGGCTGCCATCTCCCCTGATTCGTTTCCATCATTCCTGGAACTCCACGTTACTATGGTTACCAGGCTCTGGTCAACTTCTACAAACACAGAAACATATGTTAAGAACTCAAAACATAAGTATTGTAAAATATATGCGACAAACAAATTTAATGTCAAACAGCTCTGAAAAAATAATTATCATTAACTTTTTCAAATAATAAGGTGTGTTTGTAGTTCAGAGTTTCAAGTTCAGATATTTCCCAAAACATTAAAACATTAGTGTGCATGTTACTTTATACAAAAATTATATGGAAAACATACTTAAGAGAATAAAAGAATGTCTTCATGCAAGCAAAGAAGTTCTTCAGTGAAAGCAAATAGTATATTGTCTACAGTGTACTTAAATATACACTGGCACATGCAAACAAAAGAGATTGGTTTGAAAGGGTTAATGTTCAGGAACATATTGGTAAGAACAAGCAGTTAAGTTATTTAACATCACTACACATGCTCCTAAAGAATCAAAATGGCAACTTCCTTTGCAATATTAAAATCACAGATTCCATTCTTTCTTCACTTCTATGAGGATGACAGAAAAGTTATGAACATAGGAGCAAAGGATGTACACCCATAATCGTTTGTCAAGTGCAACATTTTCCATGCTTAGCAGTTGTTACTAAGAACCAATTTCATGCCTGAAGGCTGCATTTGAACCAAATACACAGCTAGGCAGCATTATGTATGTAGCTATCAAAGTGACTTGGTATTCCTTAATGATTCAGATAGACAAGTCACAGGACTTGGGGGGAGCCTTCAACACCAGTGGGATCCAAGCACTCCAACATCGAAGGCAGCAGCTTGGAGGTGATTATGTTGAAAAATATTCAGCAACCATTAATGCAGTCCATCATAGCTTGCCTCAGAACCTTTCAGCCAGCTCTTATAGCTTAATTCACCATTATATTCCTCTGAAGGGTCTGGCATGACCCTGTCAGTCCAGGCAGCAATCATTGCTTGAAACAGAATTATTTAGGGACTGAGGGAGCTTAACATCACGTTGATCAGTTTTTCTTTAAAATAATGGTATATCAGGATAATATTAGAAGGAAGTGCCTAGTGTTGAAGGCAGAAATCCATGCAGTCAGGCAAGGATCTACATCAGGCCCCCATTTCTCGAAACAAACTTAAGTTTTACTCAAATCTCAAAAATGAGTTCACGATTTGGAACAGCTGAATTTTTAACTCAACTGCACTTTTTAAATATAAAAGCCCAAAACAACTAAAGTAATCTATCCACCAAACTCAAATTATCTTCTATAGTTTGAGTTTAATACCGATTTCAGTTCATTCTGTGAAATGCATTTTCCTGTGTTTTCTCAAATTTGAGTAAAAACTCGAACTTAAGTCAAAACTCAGACTTAAGTTTGTTTCGAGAAATCGGGGCCAGGACTAATCACAAGATCAAACCCTGAATCTTTGTGTTACTAAAGGTGTAACTATCTATTGCAATACAGGAGTTATAAACCGATCTATGGTATCATAAGCCTCATATTGCAATACATACAATTGCTGTATCACTACTAACGTACGATCACACACTTGGTGCTTTCCATGAGTGCCCCCCATCCTCCTACACTTCCCTCCCCTTGAAGTTTGTCTGTATCCAGGCTACACATTCAACAAATAGACTGAAGTGCTTGTCTCTTTATCCCTCAAGTCTTATCTTTTTAAACCTGTTATCCAAGAGAAGAAAACAGGGATTGGTGTATAACAATGACTGAACCAATCACCATGCATAATAATGATTTATTATAATAATTCCATTTGGGGAAAGGTTTCAAGAACCTGCCTGCACAGAAAGGTTAAAACAAAAGTATGAAACCATCCTTCCAAAATTCTCTAATATTAAAAAAGAACCAAGTCAGTAACAGACATACTTTACCTCCACCACTGACCATGCCTTAGTGGACCAGGAACACCATGCACAGGTCAAGTGACCGGTAAAGGAAACCTTATACTGACCAAACCAACCTTCCACAGGTTGGGCAAGGAAAAATGTCCATGCTTGTCTCTTCTCATTCATCTGAAGCAGCCAGCAGCATCCGTTATCTTCTCTGTGCCAGAACCTGTACATGTGATAGAACATATATAGTAACTATAGCAAGCTAGTAGTATTCATAACCATCACTGAGTAAAAACATACTCAACTTAATGTTAGTGAAAAATTATTGTTATTGAATATCATTTGAAACTTAAATGAACAAAGGATTAGGTGACATGAAATACTGAAAATGATCTTATGAAAGTCAAAAGATATATTCAAGTGTCTAGAACATGTGACAACCAGTAATTTTCTATCTCACATTTACAGGTGTTTGTGACTGTCAACACAACCAAACACAGCTTGAGCAAACAGTCAAACTGTTGAATTTTGAATTAAAAGTAGACACTCTAATTGTAATTATTTTCATAAACATTTCTGACTTGTCAATTTTCCTCATTTCTTCAATGTGCAGATCTAACAAGCATTAGTAAAAAATATATAAAATAATATAAAATATTCCAAATAAGGCCATAAGGCCACTATCAGAAATGATGTGTTGTGGTATTATAGTGCTAATTGTGGACATGCCATTATTTCAGTGTATAATTTTGACATACAGCATATCACAAAAAAATAACTGTTTTTGCATAAGACTTTCACACAAAATTCATTCTTAAAACACACAAAAAGCAACCAACAACAAAACAATTGTGAAACAAAACAGTGCCTTTCAAAATATACAATATAACCTTGATGCTATCAGAAAAAACTTTTCAAACTATCCAATACCTTTCAATAATAAAGTGTAACACTGAAACACACTCAAGGGTTTTGAACATGTAATGTACCACAGCAACAACAAAGTCACAGTGACCTTCAGGGAATTAGAGTAACCTCCCCTTGAGTTATGAAAGCAACATGGCTACAGCAAGGTACAGGCAGTTTCTCAGACTGTGCGAAGAATGGCCATTAGATAAGACCAAAACTGGAAGAGATCTTGCTACTGTGATACGTCAAAGAGTTGGTGAAGCTTTCAAACAGGGTGAGGCCTCACAGATAAATGAAGCTCAATGTGATGAAGCATTTGAACATTTGAACAAAATCAACATGAATGCTTTCAAACAGAAATATGAAAGGACATCAGAAACTGGTGCCACGGGAGCTGTGAAGGAACAGTGTACACTTGTAGTATCTACAGAGGCTCTGGAGGAGCTTAACAATGCAGATATGGGGTTTGTTGCAAAGATGAAACGGACTCTTGGATTTGCAGGTTGAACTGCATATTCAACTCAACTCTGCCCACAGTATTCTTTCTAATCTGTCACCGGTGGTTCTACATTGCAATCACAATGACGACAGGTTTAATTAGATGAAGTATAAGGAAATACTGACATTTTATTTCACTTTGTTAAAAGCCAAAGTGGTGTGAAATATCCCCATGTTTGTTCAGTCAAGAAATACCTGATATGTGTGTGCAATTTCTTTATTACAAGTAACTAAAATGTGTGATCACTGTGAACAATGATGCAGAAGGCATCCATGAATGCTGAACTTAGACAAATGTAAACACAGTCAAAAGTGAAGTTGTGAAAAGATTGTTTGAATAAAACAAAAATCATATTGTGGTTTTCTTTTTGCTAAACATGATCAATATGACCACGTATACATTCGGTTTGAGTTTGTTTGATACAAAACACATGTAAACAACTTCTATAGTGATGATCATGCCAATATATCTATAATATAAGGAAGCTTGTACATGTGGAACAAACTGATGACACATATCAATGTGGAGAAACATGCCTTTAAAATTCCACATATGGATCAGAAGCACCGGACTTGCCATGTCTGTTAATCATTTCCCATGCATGACTGTCATGGCAATATGACAAATGTTTTAGTTCTTGAATCGGTTCAGAGAGTACAGTGATAACATCCATTACACTGATCAAGACACATTCATGTATGCAAGACACTTACATAATTACAACAGTGAATACCTACTAGGTCCTGATGTTGCACAATGGAAAACATACAAGCTTCAATAAAATACCTGTCATGTGTTTTACCAACTTGTTACAGGTATATGACAGTCAACTGTACATAAGCAGGTCTGGACCAGATAATCCAGTGATAGGGACATCATTCTATGCAATTGGGATATGGCCTGACCATTTCATCTCATTAATCGTCGCTTGTGACAGGCATGGGTTGCTGGAGATCAATTTTGACCTGGAGCTTTGCAGGTTTATTATTTAATATATTATGCATATCATCTAATCAGAAGTAATCACTGGTAATAACAAAATCGATGTTTGGTGAATTTTACAAGTAAACAGTAAAATGTGTGAACCTCAGACATTGTCACTGCAATTAGGGTAAGGATAAGTTGTTTTTCTTATGTTAGTTAGAACTAAAGGAAGAGTACTAGTTTCTACACCCTGTGTGTGGAAACACAGATGTGTTTTGCAATGAGCAGATACCTGGATCACAACATGTTCATCCCAAAAGAAATATGGTTCAACTGATTCTACAGATTCCGCAATCCAAGCAGATTTTTCCGTTTATGTTCATATCAGAAATGAGAATGACTAAGCACAAAAACGCTGAAAATTTAGCCGGGGTTCTTTTATTGCAAATTTACATTGATCTCAAAAACGTTCAAAATGAAATAAAAATCCCGGAAATCTGTGGATCAAAATTCTCATGTCTGTTATACAGACCTGAAAATATTTAGGACAGGCCCACATTACAGAATACTGTTTTCTGACTGGCTGATTATAGTGAGTGGGCTGGTGTTTCATTATTGTGCTGATCAATGCAACTGGTTTTGTACTGCCTACAACTGCTTTATGTTTACTGATTAAATAACTATTTTCCGCTGAAAACTTAATGCTGTGTTATCGAATGGGGGGGTTCAGAGTTTCTCAACGGATTTACACAAATCACAGAATTGATCAATTTGATTTTAAATCGGCTCAAATCCGCAGATCAGCGGAAAATTGCCATCCCTTATAGAGGTATAAATGGAGGTTAAAACTAGTGTCAGTACTGTTTATAAATATCGGCGCTGGATTTATATAACTTGACATTTACAGCTCAACAATTGCAAAATGACATATAAGTCTTGTTAATAGATCTATAAGTCAACAGTAAGAAGTTCATACTGCTTTTTCCTGTTGCCATCCCTGCTTAATAAAAGTAAAATTTGTTGTAATCAGTTTTTTAAGAGCAGATGACTGCGCCAGAATTCATCCCGTTATATTATTGTGCATGTTTGAACTTGATCGCCGGGAAATGTGTGCACGGCTGATTGCTATTTACGGCTCAAATACACACAGTAATCTTATATTTAATTAATTTATAGAGCAAAAACTGTAATTAAAATTACACAATGTTAGGATATATTTCTGTGGGTTAAATAATATTCTACCATGACTTCAGTAAACACTGGATTGTGATTGGTTAATTAAAGTCAGTCAGAGGTATATAATCACGTTATACAGGTCTCTGTTTTCCGTGCGCAATCATACATGGTTTACGGTAATGCACTATTTTTGTCTGCCCACTAACATGGCGGACACCAAACAACCTACCGATGCATCGATAAATGACGGCGATTTTACTGTCGGAAATTACACATATGTCTTTAAAGATGGATTTAGCGATGATGGGCACGACTCACTACTTGCGTAAATCACAGCAATAGGTGTTTATACATACAAAAGTACTTCGAAAGCATGTAAACAAATATTCAGTCGAACAAGATCAAAACATCGTCTGCTTTCCGAATAAAAATTCAGCAAAAAACAAATATGTTTACGTTGATTCTAGGTTATGTCAGAATAGATCCAGCAATAGACTGCTACAAAATTTCCGTGTTAAATTTATTATCAGCTTTCGTCAACGATATCGCCACTGATCTTGATCCGGTAATGGAGGATGCATTAACTTCGAACGCCGAAGAAATTTTAATGCCTTCCGTCCACATAAATAAACAGTTGGGTTATCAATTCAAACAAAATGATATTTTGAAATTTGTACTATTTCAAATTTAGCGGTAGTAAAACAATTAAATCTACAGAATCTGCAAACCGTTCTGTTTAGCCCAACATATTTTTTTTTCTAAATGTATAATATCGTTGAAAAAGTTATTTAGCTTAGTCATAATCCCTTTATCCATTACACTGCTTGATCTAAAGTAGTCTATTAAAGTATAATTAATTACCTTACCGTGTTTATGCCAGAGGTACACCCTCGTGTCCTGATCCATCCTTTCGGAAATATCACCACAAATCTGGCTCTTTGTCAACAGACTCGCGATTCAATTTGAATTCACTACACTTTGAAGCCACAAGGTCACAAAACACTTTCCAAAATGTAGAAAATAATATCCGTAGAATCGAATTTGAGCACAAAGTACACACATGAGTGTGTAAGAGTCACCACAGCTGTCGCACGCAGACGTAGAGGTGCGTGAAATCGTCAAGTTGACAGGGCGCAAAATTCAACAGTATCTAAATTCGGTACAACACGGACTTCTCGTTACAGCAAAAGCGCCGCCCCTACTCTTAAATTTTGTACCAGTACCAGTAATTAGACATCAAAGACTATCTCAGTCATACAATCAGGTTAACCTTGCGCATAAACTGTTAGAGGCTCTCCTGTCGCATCTTTCCAAATGTAAACAATGACTTCGGAGAAAAGGTCAAGGCCATGAGGTTGCTGCCACTATTCTGGTGGGGAAAGGGTCTACGGTGGAATTTTCAAATGTGAACCAAGCTTTTAAACTTATTTGATATATGTTTTCCAACTTATCAGTTAATGATTGGTGATTGATGCATTGAAAAACAAAAACGTGATTTGTTATTACTGAATCTGGAGTTTGTTAGTCATTGACGGTTTGCCACAAAACACCCGCTTCGGCGATACCACTTGAGATTGGAATGCGAGGCCGATTCACGTATTGACTCGTAACCAAAGAAAGAGCTCCACCTGAAATTGTTCATAAAATTGTCATGGTAGAATGGAGATAAACCTACTGTGTGGGAAAATCAGAGGTATAACGAAATTATAATAGCTCTAAATTGTTCATTTAAAACCTCACGCTACGCGTTCGGTTTTAAATGAAATTTAGAGCTATTATAATTTCGTTATATACCTCTGATTTTCCCACACAGTAGGTTTATCTCCTAAGTATTCTGTATTATATTTTACTGATGACTGCGCCAGAATTTATCCCGCTATATTATTGTGCATGTTTGAACTTGATCGCCGGGAAACGTGTGCACAGCTGATTGTACAATAATTGTCATAATGACTAATATGTAATAGTATGTTGAAATAATAAAAACGTACAGGTTAATATGCATTTTATTCATCATTCACAACATAAAGGCTGTTATCGTGGCAAACATCCTGGCAGATGTACCGGTAACCTGTAACATCGTCCTGGCGGGGCACTGGCGAGCTAAAAAATATTTCCGTGAAATTGTATCTCATAGATAAGACGACACCCCTCTACTGACATATTTTTTGGGTCCTCAAAATTTGGCTTATAGACCATAATATACGGTACATAATAAGTTGTAGGCTTATCCCACTGGGTAAGTCACAATATGGCTGAAATGTTGCTGATGTGACTTAAAATCTTAACTCACTCACTCTCACCAGGCATACACAAATACCCTCTGTTTAGCTGTGTGCCATTTGCAGAACTTTATACCTCCCATGTTTATGATTTACCACAGTTGAACAGCTAAACAGAGATTGAGATATGAATCCCTTGTTACTCTACAAACTGCTGCGATTATAAATATATACACAGAGGATACAGTATTTTTCTAGTATTTAACAAGTAAGGATACAAATGGTAATCAATAATGATCATGCTGATAAAGTTCTAGATGATTTTTATATCTAGATTTAGGTGCACTCTTTCACCTAATGAACTACAGTCAAGCACCGTTGTCTCGATATTCATGGGACCAAGAACAAATATCGAGTTGTCCGAACTTCGAGACATCCGATCAGGCCATATCATCACATATCACTATGAAAGAAAACAAAACAAAAAGTAGATTTCATGTATATCTATTTGTATATATATTTTTACTCACAGGCATCGCAACCACACACGATACAGCTCATGTTACAGTGTACATCTTGAATGATACAAGAGTTATCTGAGTTTGACACAACGGTGCTCGACTGTAATTTGAAACCAATGTTAGAGCTAGAACTTAGACCTAGAAACCCACCTCCGGTATTCCTCTGTGGTTGTCTGGGTGATATTGGGCTGCCACCAGGCATCAAATGGTCTGGACGGACGTTGACACACTCTTTCCTCCTTCACAAGATCTTGCTTCACTGGCATGGGCGGCACACCCTTGGACTTGACGGGAACATCATGGGAGCTGACATCACGAACATACGATGTGGCTACCACTCCTGGCTTCCATTCACATGTCATGGAGATATCCTTGAGGAGCTGAAGTACAGACTGCAATGAAAAAGACAATCACCTTCAGAGATGACTACTGAGAGCATTTTGACTATAGTTTAACCCTGTTAATATATAATAGTATTTTCAAAGTAAGGACTAATAAAAACATGTTAAATATAACTCAAATCAGTTGAATATTTATAAATGATTTTTTGAGCAATCATTTTCGTTTTTTCGTTCAGTTGCTGAAAGAATACAAGCTGGAAGTTTTTGCTGTTCGGAGGATGGAAGCACTCCTGATCTCAAAATGCAGGCTCTTGAAAATACTAGGTTAACTATTGTTTTCAAGGACATACGAGGTGTGCCAAATTATATACATCTGCCTGTCCCAAATTGTCTCCTAGCAACATTTTAATAGAACGTGAGTAGACTCCGTCCTTTAACTACTTGAACTCCTGATTTTAGTCACATTCGGTATAAGCAAATGTCTACCCCATCACTTTGTTTGGGACCCGTGAAGGTCCGGGTTAGAATGAGCCTTCAGTAACCCATGCTTGTCGTAAGAGGCGACTAATAGGATTGGGTGGTCAGTAGGGCTGTACAATATTACCAGTAAACCAGTATACACTGGTACAGTATCTCCCCGATATGATTATCGCGATATGGTTCAGATTCTGCAATATATTGGGTCATCCAGAGTTAGCTCCCTTGAATTACCTGCCCTTGATTTCGATAGCAAAAATATGTGCCACATATACTTTTATTTCTGTTGGATTCATGTAACATTTTACAAGTGGAAGTATCATTATAATATTCTACCAAATGCTTTACGTTTTGTGGGTTTGAATAGTTTCATTTGGAGGAATTAAGTGGCCCCAAATGGACCATTTTTTTTATTTGGACTTCATAGTAGAGCGTCTGGCTCTGAGTGACCATTTTACAATTCACAGTATTTTGTTTGTTTTGGTTGTTTCATAATTGGACATATGATATCAATTTATCATGAAGGTTTAAGTCTTATAAATTTTGTAGGACTGTAATATGCCATTCTTGTCAAGGATGTTAGTTACTGGAGGTCACATGCGATTTTAAGCTCACGTAGTTCACCTACATCATGTTTATATTTCATTTTGCAATAGTTCATGTTAACACATGTTATATTGGAGTTGAATCTGAATGAATCACTGACATACAGAAACAATAATTGCATACTGCATTCTGTTGAAGCAAACAACACTGACCATGAAAATCATGTTATACTATTACCTTTATCATTATGTTTGCAAAACTTTGTTGCAATACTTCAATCAAACATTCCACGTTAAAGCTCTATATAATTATATTTATCTGTAAATGATTGGCATACAGCCATACACAAAGGGGACGGGGAGCCTGAAAGTATGGTGTTACAGCAACTGAGAAGTTGATGTCGCCCACAGAGAGCTTTTATGAAATTATAATGTACCCACTTGGCCAGAAACCTTCCAGTCAATATATCACAATATGTATTGCGATATCTCTTAAATTATTGCAATACATCGCAATATGAAAATCAGGACAATATCCAGCCCTAGTGGTCAGGCTCGCTGGCTTGGTTGACACATGTCATCGGTTCCCAATTGCGCATATCGATGCTCATGCTGTTGATCACTCCTTTTTATTCTCATCTCATCGTATCATAACTGCATGGATCGATGCTCATGATGTTGATCACTGGATTGTCTGGTCCAGACTCGATTATTTACAGACCGCCGCCATATAGCTGGAATATTGCTGAGTGTGGCGTAAAACTAAACTCACTCACTCACTCAATTTGTTTAGCTAGTTCATGAATTGATTTTAATTTATGTAAATTGATGGTTACTGTATTCCCAGGACCATTTTTAAAAACATATGAAACATTGTTTGCTAGTTCTTAGATTGCTTTTGTTGTTTTGTTTTTTGCACCAGGAGGAACAGGTGATAATTTTGTCAATAATACACACTCCATAACATTGCAACATTCACTATTTTATTGATAATTTTTGCAGTGAGAGAAAAGGCTGTCAGTTTGCACTATATAACATTTAAGCTATGAAGCAATGTTCCATATCATCACATTTTCACATTGTCAAGGATGTTACTGCGCTGTGACAAAATGTGTTCTATAGAGATGGTGTCATGCTAAACCAGTTCCAAGGTTACCACTGTCCTTCAGTTCCATCTGACTAGCTGACACTTGTTTTGTTTGTTTGTTGTTTAATGCAGCACTCGGCAATATTCCATCTATATGGTGATGGTCTGTAAATAATTGAGTCTTGACCAGACAATCCAGTGATCAACATCATGAGCATTGATCTACACATTTGGGATACAATGACAACTAAGTCAGCGAGCCTGACCACGTGATCCCAAAATTTGCCTCTTATGACAAGCATGGGTTGCCAAAGACCTGGGTCCCATTTCACAAAGCTTTCGTACCGTTACGACTGTCGTAAGCCTATGTTACAGTATAGGAGGTACGAATCCTACGAGAAAAGTTACGAGAACTTAGGCTTACGAGAGCTTTGTGAAACATTAACCAGTTCTTCACGGGTTAAGCTGATACACATTCATTACTTCAGAATACCAGTACCATATTTGTTCATACCGATGCACAAACTGACATGACAGGGATTTTGAACTTGATAAAATATCCTTCCAAATCTGCATGTTAGTTTGCTAGCCAAAGATAGCCAAAGACAAAAAGGTGTACCGAGGATGAAACCCCTGCAAAGATGACTCGTAGCACTTGAGAGCCATCATTCTGAACCGGTTTTCAAAATTTCAATTTAACTACCCACTGCAATTTTAACTGCACATATTTTTGAGAGACTGTAAATATGAGCTTATGAGTTACATTGAGAGACTGTAGCTGTGGTATAATGTGCGTCCTTGAGAGACAGCAACTATGGGATTACGTGTCTTTGAGAGACAGTAACTATGGGATAATGTGCGACCTTGAGAGACAGCAACTATGGGATTATGTGTCTTTGAGAGACAGTAACTATGGGATAATGTGCGACCTTGAGAGACAGCAACTATGGGATTATGTGTCTTTGAGAGACAGTAACTATGGGATAATGTGCGACCTTGAGAGACAGCAACTATGGGATTATGTGTCTTTGAGAGACAGTAACTATGGGATAATGTGCGACCTTGAGAGATAGCAACTATGGGATTATGTGTCTTTGAGAGACAGTAACTATGGGATAATGTGCGACCTTGAGAGATAGCAACTATGGGATTACGTGTCTTTGAGAGACAGTAACTATGGGATAATGTGCGACCTTGAGAGACAGCAACTATTGGATTACGTGTCTTTGAGAGACAGTAACTATGGGATAATGTGCGACCTTGAGAGACAGCAACTATGGGATTACGTGTCTTTGAGAGACAGTAACTATGGGATAATGTGCGACCTTGAGAGACAGCAACTATGGGATTTACGTGTCTTTGAGAGACAGTAACTATGGGATAATGTGCATCCTTGAGAGACAGCAACTATGGAAATTTTGTGTCTTTGAGAGACAGTAACTATGGGATAATGTGCATCGAGACAGTAACTATGGGATAATGTGCATCCTTGAGCGAGAGCAACTATGGGATTCTGGCGTCTTTGAGAGACAGTAAATGTGAGCTTATGAGTTACATTGAGAGAGTTACTATCAGTCTATGTGCATCCTTGAGAGACAGCAACTATGGGATTACGCGTCTTTGAGAGACAGTAAATATGAGCTTATGAGTTACATTGAGAGAGTTACTATCAGTCTATGTGCATCCTTGAGAGACAGCAACTATGGGATTACGTGTCTTTGAGAGACAGTAACTATGGGATAATGTGCATCCTTGAGCGAGAGCAACTATGGGATTACGTGTCTTTGAGAGACAGTAACTATGGGATAATGTGCGACCTTGAGAGACAGCAACTATGGGATTACGTGTCTTTGAGAGACAGTAACTATGGGATAATGTGCATCCTTGAGAGACAGCAACTATGGGATTACGTGTCTTTGAGAGACAGTAACTATGGGATAATGTGCGACCTTGAGAGACAGCAACTATGGGATTACGTGTCTTTGAGAGACAGTAACTATGGGATAATGTGCGACCTTGAGAGACAGCAACTATGGGATTACGTGTCTTTGAGAGACAGTAACTATGGGATAATGTGCATCCTTGAGAGACAGCAACTATGGAAATTTTGTGTCTTTGAGAGACAGTAACTATGGGATAATGTGCATCCTTGAGCTAGAGCAACTATGGGATTACGCGTCTTTGAGAGACAGTAAATGTGAGCTTATGAGTTACATTGAGAGAGTTACTATCAGTCTATGTGCATCCTTGAGAGACAGCAACTATGGGATTACGCGTCTTTGAGAGACAGTAAATATGAGCTTATGAGTTACATTGAGAGAGTTACTATCAGTCTATGTGCATCCTTGAGAGACAGCAACTATGGGATTACGTGTCTTTGAGAGACAGTAACTATGGGATAATGTGCGACCTTGAGAGACAGCAACTATGGGATTACGTGTCTTTGAGAGACAGTAACTATGGGATAATGTGCGACCTTGAGAGACAGCAACTATGGGATTACGTGTCTTTGAGAGACAGTAACTATGGGATAATGTGCATCCTTGAGAGACAGCAACTATGGGATTACGTGTCTTTGAGAGACAGTAACTATGGGATAATGTGCGACCTTGAGAGACAGCAACTATGAGATTACGTGTCTTTGAGAGACAGTAACTATGGGATAATGTGCGACCTTGAGAGACAGCAACTATGGGATTACGTGTCTTTGAGAGACAGTAACTATGGGATAATGTGCATCCTTGAGAGACAGCAACTATGGAAATTTTGTGTCTTTGAGAGACAGTAACTATGGGATAATGTGCATCCTTGAGCGAGAGCAACTATGGGATTACGCGTCTTTGAGAGACAGTAAATGTGAGCTTATGAGTTACATTGAGAGAGTTACTATCAGTCTATGTGCATCCTTGAGAGACAGCAACTATGGGATTACGCGTCTTTGA